AGCCATCTGTTACGCAACTGACCAACCATTTGTTTTCTTCTTCCCAGATTTCTCTTCTCTCTTCATGATTCACAAATAGTAAACTTTTCTTCTGTCTGTGCCTTTTTTGTGTCTCCTTTTTTGATCGTCACAGTTTAGTTTCATGGCAGACTTTGTAATCTCACGGGCACCAGAACCCTCTGCCAAGGTTTATGCAGATTTAAAGCCTGGATTAATCTGGCCTGGTATTTATAAAATGCTCTGAACATGTGAAGCACTATGAAAGCACTGTATATTATTACTGAGTCCATGGAAGTCCCCCCCTGCTAACTCAGCACACATTTAAGCTGCTGTTCCTGGAGGTGAGGTACAGTGACAGAAACAACCAAATACACGTCTCATCTTCTGAGACTGTACCTCTCTACTTTCTTTCTGTCTCTATTCTTTTTCTTTTCCTTCCAGGATTTCTGGAAGAAACTGAATAGGAGGGAGGGAGACCCCCTCCAAAGATTTCACCTCTTGAGAGTATTCTTTCAAAGTCTTTGGCATAGTCTTCCTGCTTTTTGCTGTTGCTGGACTGCCCAGTTCCCTCATGCTGTTTCCTAAGCACTTTTATAAGCTAGCAGTTTCTGCAGAAACCTTTTGGAAGAAAAAAAATCTTGATGCATGGGGAGGCTGCTTTCAAACTCTGGTCTGCAGCTGGCACGCAGTGTGGGGAGAAGCCAGCCTCCAAATCCAGGCCATCCCAGCAACTTGATAAAAATTGCTAGAACAACTCGGGGAGCTGTAGGCCTATGCCAGCCAGATCTGCCGTGTTTTTAAGGGGCTATCTCCAAAAAGATTTCTGTTCTGCTGCTTAAAGCACAGAGGAAGGGATGACTGGCAACTGTAGTCCAGGTTTAGTCATCATGTCTTCCCCTTCCATGTTATCAACATGGGGACAAAGGTCAAAATCAAACGTGTACATATAGTGTTTGTGGCGTATTTATACCTTTATATAATTAAATTATTGGAGCGTTAACATATTTTATAGTAGTTGGACTCAAAACAGGATCAGTTCTCGTTTTCACACTTGGGAGTGCGGCTATTTAAAATGGAGTCAATGAACTTTCCCTGGCTCCATTCAGAAGGCATTATGGGTCCATTTATTTTTACTTCCCTCCCCCCATTATTTGATAGTTCTTTTAAGAGTTGTGAGTTTTACTTGGTTCCTTTTGATCAGAAGGGAAAGGTACTGTAGGAACTGAGATGCTGCAGTGACTCTGGCTTTGAACTCACCAGGTCTAAAAGCCTGCAAGAGCATTTTCCCTTTCAGCTTTCTAGCCAGCTCAGAGCTGGCTGATAAAGGGGTATGTTAAATTGTCCTGAAGGACAGCTGGAAAGCTAGGCGCTACAGTCTGAACTCACAATGGAATTGAGATATATAGATAGATATATATTTAGTTTAATCATATTAAAATTTAAATGTTAGACTTTAGAGTAGATTTTTTTTATTTTTTTTTTTTTTAATTCAAGTTGTTAAAGAAAAAAGTTTATTTTCCATTCACTTCGGCTGCGGGGATCCCGAGCTCCTGCAAATGCTGCAGCTCCATCTAGTGGCACTGCGGCCAGTTGCCAGGGTGGAGGCAAATCTTTTAGAAATGCTAATAATGAAGAAAAAGATCTGTATTTTCAGTAAAATTCTCTAAGATTTACTTACGGTTATCACAGTTAGAGGCTACTCCAGCGCTGTCCGGAATGAAACAATATTTAAATGTCACTTGTTTAGAGAGATTAGTATATGCAAGTCCATTGAGTCTATTTCTCTTCAGTATTTTTCTTACTTGATCACAGACTTAGAGATGTATTCCTATTTCTAATAAAAGAAGGCAGTATGTTTAAAACTGTGTTTGTATATGTAAGCATGTGGTACTTGTAAAAGCAGTTTTGATCTGAATTTCTTAAAACACTTGGGAAACATTTATTAAGCATCAAAACATTCAAATTTTTTTTGCTCTATCAGCTTGTCAATCTATCTGTCCATCCACTCATCCATTGTGTATAGAGACTGTGCACATTCGTATGGACAGCAGACCCTATTCTGCTCTCAATTACATTATAACTTAATTTATTTCAGTGGAGTTGCTCTCAACTCTCACTGGTCTGACATGAAAATTAGTGTTTTGTGTATCTGTACACAGAGCAAATATATATTCACAAAGTGTGATGAACTTATGTTGTAATGTGATCTTAATGTAAATAGGTTAGTTCTTTGGGGTTCTCACCTCATCCAGATGGGAATTGACATTCAGTATTTTACACCATTAAAACTGTGTTTAGTTTTTCAACACGTCTTGCTCCTGCCTTTGATCTAATCAGAAAATAAACATTCTTGATTTGATTTGCTCAGCTGCCGTCTGAGCCACAAAACCTCGATTTCACATTGTGTCCCGAACTCGACTCCCATGCTGCTCGTTGCAAATCTGTTGAATTCAATAAATGTATTTAGCCTTATTAAGATTCAGGAAAGCAAATATTATCCTCCAGTGATGCAGCAGATAACAGGAGTTAATAACAAGTATGTGATAAAGATCACAGGATTCCCTGTAAACAAGATGCTGCATTGCACAGAGAGCATCTTGTCTGCATATGTTTCATAAGTAACTAGGCATCCTCATGGGCTTCTTTAGTTATTTTAGAAAGTTGTGTAAACAGTATTATCTACTTAATGCCCCAAATGATATAATAATTGATATGGAAATGGGGCAAAGCTCAATAGATCGTAATACAACTCTCCATGGACTCTTGGAGATGATCTGCCCAGATTTTATTTAAATTTTCTTCTAGCTTGGATGTATGCAGCCTGTGGTTAGTTAGACATGTTAGGCAGATGTTTGTTGGACAGTATTTTCTTTTTTTTGACCTTTTTTTCTGTAAAAAAAACCCTCAAACATGTGAATGTATGCTTGGATTGTTACCTGTTGTATGTATACAGAGGTGTTGTATGTATACAGGTGTGAAGAGTAAGATCATACTGAAAAGCTCTGATGCATTGTGTGCTGTTGAGAAAAATGGATAACAACAGATTTCTAACCTACACAGTACTCTGTAGTGATTTAATGATTCTTCTTGTTTAGACAAGAGCAGTGGAAAGAAGTACTGGACTACTAAGAAATTATTAAAACTAAAAAATTGTATTTAAAAATATTTTTCTGCTCCTTCATGTGGAAAATTATATTGAAGCCTGGAGATTTTTAAAAATATATTCTAAAAATCTCTTACACAAGCCTTTCTACTTTGTTATTTTTATAAAGTAGTGCTTAAAAGATAAAATATTTTCCCTATTCAACCACTTATTAGTTTCTTCAAATATATTAATTGGTTAGACTTGCTCAACTGTTTTCCATAGACATCACATGTAATTGTCTCAGGTGTATGATATCAGACAAAAATTAAGCTGTGTTGTGGTTGTCCATGCAAGATGAACCTAAGAACATGCATCCATGACATGTCTCTGTTTTACAAAGCTGTGATGCCAGTTGTGCTTAACTATTTCTCCAGTTAGTTAGTATGGTCTCCAGACCACTGTATTAGACTTTGGGAAAAATTACTTCTCTTCTTTGTACCACAGTTCCCCCAGCTGTAAAATGGGGAAATGATACATTGGAATGTGCTGATAAAATGTAAGTAAAACTCAGCTTTCTAGAAGAGGGCAAAGCAAAATTGGTATTCAAAAGAAATCTGAGATTTGATTAGACTTTATCAAGGTCATTCAGTGGGCTTGTGATGTTGCCAAGAGCAGAGCTTGGGTCTCCAGACATTCTGTCTGTTGACTCCAGCTGCCTTCCAGGTACAGAGAATGGCTGACGAATGTTAATAATGCAAACAGGACAAACGTCAGCAACTGCTCATTTCCATTTATTTTATTAAACCAAAGAAATTTTTTTTTTTTTTTTGTAAAATGCACACATTGGTTTGGGAGACAGGAAAGGGATGAAAAGGATTTATTTATAAAACAGGCTTTTATCACTCAAATACTGTACAGTAATGAAGAGTGGAAGTAAAATGTCTGTCTGGAAGCAGATGCAGTAAGCAGGAACCTGCTTACTTAATTTAAATTCCGTTTTTGCATATGTGGTAGTGCCAGAGATTTCTTCTTCCAGAATAGCTTCACTGATGCAGTGCTATTTCCTTTTGCTGGCCTGGCACCTGGGGAGGGGGTATGTGTACTGGGGGCAGCGTGCAATCCCCATGGAGAGTGCACAAGGATTTTAGTCATTGTTTCTCCAATGGCTTCTTAACAAGAGTTAAGGAAGTGCAATAGGTAAGCAAGACAGGTAGATGTGGATGAAAATTAGCTATTTTCTTTTTGAGCCATTCTTAAAACATTATTCAGAGGAAAACCAAGATGCAGTGGCAGGTGGATAGCACCCATTTAATTTTTATACATCTTATGAAAAAGCAGTTTCAATTCGCGAATGGGGGCTCTGCAGCTACTACTGTATCCTTGCACTGGGCAATGTTAATAGGGAAAAAGACTGATCTTCTCTGACTCCCTGTGGGAAATCTGCCCTACCTGGCTACAGGTTTTTAACTGTGGAAGATAAAGTTGCATGTAGAGGCAGAGGGAACCTGGTCCTCACAGGCCATCACTCCATGTGAAAGATAGAATGGGAGAAGGAATGCCATTATCTTTTAGTTTAGTAACATACAACAGTTGAGTACTCGTTTTGCTGTAAAAATCAAGTGAAAAAGAATATGCAGAAGTTGACTTGAAATGTGAGTAAATGAAAGCAAAACTCTTTTGGCAGGTCCAACCAGTCTCTGAGAGTACACAGCTAAGAAATCAGAACTGGCCGACTGCCTATGGAGCTGATGAGCCAGCATGGTCTCACTACAGTCCAGGGCAATAAATAGATTAATTTTGTAACTTCTCTAGTGTACAAGGAAAGTAACGCCTGCTTCTAAAATAAGTCTGCATTTGTAAGAAACTATGCGATCAACAATAGGAACACAGGTTTGGCAACTTACTGCCCCTAAGTTCTCTTGCATTTCAAGGTATCTTCAAGAAATTAAATAGGCTTGTATAAACCAAAGCTGCCTCCATCCCAGTGCACATTTCTGAGTTAAATGTTGGAGTTAACTTGGTCAATTTTCACAGCTTTTCTGTTCAGTGAGTACTGAAAACCTGAATGAGGAAACTTTACTGGGGAAGTACTGGGTGAGGAAATAGGGGCACAGAGGTTAAGTTACTTGTGCAAAGTTCAGACCAAGTCTGTGGCAGAGCTCCAGTTAAAATCCAGGCCCTGTAGGTCCTCATTCATTGCCATTACTGTGCTAGCTTTCTCTGTCCAAAGATTTTCAATGTCATCTCTGAAGAGATTAATCAATTCAAAGGTCACAGGCTCTGCATTTGTAGGAAGGGAATACATCCCTGATTTGCTTGGGGGAGGTTGAATTGTTGGGGGGTGTGTGTGTGTGTGGTTTAATTTTGTTGTATTCTAATAGTAATGAAGTCACAAATTGATTTTATGAAAGCTACGCTTGACCCTTTGATGACACATGCTGTAGGCTCTGTGGATTCATACATGAAGTGGCTTGATTGGAAGTCTCAGTGCAGCTGAGGTTGAAATCAGCCCTTTGAGTGAGGCAGATCTGTTCTTCCTGGGTAGCTCTGAAGATGTTGTGGCTGTCTAATTGCCACAGATACCCCACTGAAAAGGCTCTCCATCAAAGAAGTTCGGTGTGTGGGAATTATCCAACAGACACATTGTTCTTTCTTCCCACCATTTCTGTATTTATTTAGTACATTTCCCCCCATAACACAAGGAGACTGACCTTTGCTTTCTGGTGGATAGGGACAAAGTGACCAATTCTAGGACCATTTTGTTGACAGAACTCTGCTAGCACATTATATAGAAAAGCATTCTCAGAAGGAATTTGGCTTACACCAACAAAACAGTGGGAGGTTTTGGCACTGTTTATTTTAGTGCCTTTTGAATTATGCAATTTTTTCCTTAGCCAAATTGCACCTCATATTCATAATGTGCCAACAAAAATTGGTTAGCTTTGGATCAGTTAATCCTTCAGAGATGGACAGTTAGAGCAGTACCACAGTAAAGGTTAAGATAGATCTTGCTGATGTGCTGCTTTCCTGACGCTTGTCCTTGCTAGACAGCATCTACTTACGGACCTTCTAATCTCGTAGTCCGCTGTAAGGTGAGGGTCTGTGGACACAATTAGCTACTCATGCACAGTCCCACAGGAACCTGAGGAGAATCCAAGGCAGCTGTGCACACAATGACAGGAGGGAGGAAACGGGGGGAAATTATTTTTCCCTATTCTTTCGGTCTTTCACCACAAACTGCTGTGGAGATAGAGCAGCATGATGGCTGTGCTTCCTTTCTGCCTTAACTTCAAGTCACCTGAGTGTGATGCAGACCCCAGACATGCTTTTTTCTTTGCCACTTTGTTACTGATTCAGAAATGATCCTCTAAGGAGGTGCTACCTTTGATCCATTTTAACTGTCCTGCAATATGATATGTTGTGGGAAGATTAGTTCTTAAATTTCTTAATTAACTACTCTTAATTCTCTTACTTCTGGTATAACTAGAAAAAGTAATAATTGTCAAATAACAAATAATCCACACATGCCTAGCTGTTAATAGCTATTTAAAATACTAACTTTACACCCTAGACACTCCTATTATTCTGTATTTTTTCCAAGCCATCCTTCTTGTAAGAATGCACAGCAATGTTTTTCAGGTTCAGCACACTTTCAATTAGCTGATTCTTTTATGTGTCTGGGAGGTAAGTTAATACAGTTATTCCTTATTTATAGACAGTGTCATTGTGGTGCACGTAGTATCTGCACGTGGAGTACAAGTATACAGATATACAGGATTAGCTATAATATCGCAATGCCACCAAGATGGTATTTGCATGGTGTACCAGGCTGTAAAAGTAAGGCCACACCCAATCTACATAAATCTCTCAAAGGCAACAGGGAAGCATATGCTTAACACAGACTGTCTGTTAACCATGTGTCTCACAGCTTGTTAATCAGAATTAAATGCAAGCATTATATTAGCCAGATGTTCTCCCCAACAGCACCCTTCTGTGGTTCCTTTCCATTATGTATATAGTCCACGTGGTATGAATTTTCTACCCTTTCAGAGCTGTACTTGAAAGATCACCCCAAACAAGAACGTGCCTTCAATGCAAGTCATAAAACTCCATCAGCTACAAAAGGGAAATAAAGTATATTCCTTCATCTCTGATGGAATGATCATTGGTTGTATATTTTGCTCCTACCAAAGTTGATTGGAAACCTTCTTCCCAGGTCCTCCTGCCCACAGCAGTTGACTTCAGTGGGAACAGGACCAATCCCATCATTCTCAGAAATGGAAAAGTGCTGTTTGACCAGGCTTCAGCTGGGTGAGTAAAAAACTACATTCAGTGTCTGAAGATGCATCCTTTAGATTGCAATGACTGAGAAGATATTTCTTGAAAGCAAGTAATTTCCATATGAGCAAGCAATTCCTCTGATTCTGCAGATTCTTAAGTGCTTAATTCATTCTATTTTCCTACTCTGACTTTTCACACAAAATAGGCTATGTTCAAAATAAGCAAATCGTAAATGAAATTTTTTGTTGCAAATGTCTTTCTAAAAACTTTAATAAGCTTAGGTGCTCCTCATATGGTAGAGTAAATATAATATTTTCCAACATAAATGTTAATGTCCCTTTTGCACATGGGAGATATTTAATTTTTTTCTATTAATATAAAGTTATGTTAGCCGAATAGTTAATTTCCAGTTCTTACTCCTTCAAGAGTTTGTGTTTGGGAAAAGTTGCTGACAGCTTTGCTCTTTAATGAAATTGTTTCTTGTCTTCATTGTACATACTCCCGAACTGCAAGTTCTTTCAGGGTAAAAACTCGTATGGGATCTTTTTTTGCCTTCCATTCTTCCAGTTTTTCTTGCAAAGACAGAAAATCCTTGCCAAGTTCATATGCCAAAGTGATCATTGTTTCTAACAATGGAATATAATACCTGTGGCTGGTATGCACATGAAGGCGTGAAAGAGCTTTTTCTCCATATTCAAAAGCACTCGCTGGGTTTTCCAGGTCCTTGTGGCACACCACGATAGCACAGAGAGTAGGGACAATTGAGAGAGGGTTGCCTCTTGTCAGCCTTTCCTGCAGACCAATGACTTCTAAAAGGATTTCCAGAGCTTTGGTGTACTGGCCACCCCGCAGGCAACCATATGCTTCCTGAAGTTCGGGCCTTGTTAAAAAGTCAATAAATTTTTTTGATCTTTGGATATATTTCATAGAATATAGGAGTCTCAGGTAGTCCTTGAAGGCTAATTTTCTCTCATTGATTATTTCTTCTGTGAAATTCCCTGTTAGAGTTTTTTTGGGAAAGGTCACATCTTCCATTTCTTCACTAAACTCCTCCAGCAGATTTCTGTGCAGTTTCTCAAAATCTGAGTAACGCCGTTCAATGACAGACTTGTTGCTGTCAAAACTCCCTGTTTGCAAAATGATGATTTTATACAGCTGAACACAATAAAAAAAAAACAAAAACAAAAAAAAGGCATGAGAAGGACTAGTCTATCCCCAGTGGACTCAGATTTTGTCTGTTATTGCTTTGAAAAGACTTTGTGCTTGTATATTCTACCAGCCAAAACCTTCCTGCACCAATTTAACACGTGTAATCTTGTATACTCCTACGGTTTATAGCAGTGCAGCTGAATTAGTTGCTGCTTGGGATTATGGTGCATGCTCAGCGTAGGCCTGATCTTTGAAATCTGCAGCCATCAAATTAATAATTCTTACCTCCTGCTGTTTTTTACTTTTGTCACCAGACTTAGCGTAGCATGTAAGTTGTAGATAAACAATGAAGTAACAGATCCCATCCTGCAAGGTGCTGGGAATGGTGAGCTAGCAACAGACTGAAGCACGTAAAATCACTTACAAAGTATTTCTGGAGCTGTACTTTGTTTATAACAGCCATGGCTGCTGCAATCAATCATCTTCGGTGAACTGAATGGATTTCCCAGACTTAATATTGAATGTAATCTATTTTACATTGGTCGTAATACTCAGAAATGTTGTTTGTATCAGACATTTCTAGGGATTTGGGGGTTTTATTAATGCTGTGAAAGAAGAGGGAGTATTTGGCAGTAATATTTGGTGTGTGCAAAAATGCGATGGAGCAACTCCAAAGCCTTTTTTTCCCCTCTAAATCATTGTCCTGTTATTCAAACTTACTTGGCATATAAATAATGCAAAAAAAAGTGACATTTCTATAACAATCTGTTTGCTATCCAAAATCCTTCACTAACAGCTAACAGCAATGCTGTCCCATATTAACAGTACTCAGGAGTATGTCTTCCTCAGCTCTTCACTAGCCTCAGAATGACTATAATAAATGTGATATTAGAAAAGTAGCTGCAAAATAAAATTTGTGTGTTGCGTGTCGTACAAATAGATTCTCTTCTGGTCCTGATCCAAGCACAATGATGTTGTTGAAGGGCCAAATCCCTAATGTGTGTAAACCAGTGGAGCTCCACTGAGGCCAGCTTAACTGTGTCACTGTACACCAGCTAAGGACACGGCCTGTTGACCTTGCTGGCTTTTGGACAGTGGCCATGTTCACATTCAACTTCACCCTGTTCCCACTGAATGATACAGGAAATGAAGCAGTTTTACTCATGCTGGTTGTTTTCTTTGCTGCTGCTGAAGGGTACAAGCCAGTACTAGCACTAGTGTCTGTCTGATTGTCTTCCTTGTTTTTCCTTAAAGAGAAATTATTTCTTTTAATCTTCATAAATGATCTTTACAGGTGCTCCTGAAAGGTTTAGAAACTTGAGCTGACCTCTCTGATTTTTTTTCATTTGTAACCACTGGGACATTTTACTATATTTGTCCTGCTCCCTGCTGAAAAGTGTATATATGCCTGATGCATATCCAAAACAATAATAAGAACAATTTTTTAATCTATCATTTTATTAAGGGCAACTAAGTGAATAACTTAAGAGTACTTGTATTTTTATTTGTGAAGTGTGCATGGAAAAAAAGGAAGACATACCATTTAATTAGACTATCATTCAGATTGGCTCAGTTTTGTTGTAGTGTATGATTTTGCCTAGGCATGTAACATGACTAAGTTTAACTACTTGTACATATGCTGAATGATACTCTTGTTCTCGTACAGTTATACTAAAATAATTTTAAACTATCAACAAGCTGGATACTGTTGTCTGTTTGCAAGAATGGTAGCACCTAAGTAGGTGTGTATAGTATGCCACAAGATCTTAGGACAGTGTCTAGAACACTTACCTGCTTTAAATTCTACCAAGATGCATCACCCAGTCTCAGCAACACTAGTACGATTCTTAGCATTTTTCATCTACAATTCTCAGAGGTTGTTGCAAACAAGGAAAACATCCCTATCTGAATTTCACAGTATTGAAAGAATCTTACTCTATATCAGTCCTCCTGAAGGCCAGGAGCAGAATCAGAAATAAAAACCAAGTGTCATACTGTGAGTAAAGATACAAAAATGGAACATATTCTGTTGTTCCTGTCCTTCATACTCATGTTTCACCTTAAAAATATGACAGAAATATGTGATCTAATGGAGCTCTAGGTAGGGAAGGGGAATGATACCAGGTGATCTAGCTGGAGAATGTCTTAGATTTTGTCAGCATCAAAGAATTTTGCCTTTGTGTTAATGGAAACCTCTGATATGGAAGTTGTACAAACACCATGCAGTTGGTACAGCAGGCTAGCTCAGTGGAAGTGTAACTATATTGATACTGTTGTATCTGTGTGAATTTTCTTAATGCTGACAAGCCTCTGGGTGTTAAGGATACTCAAGCTACTGATTTACTTGGTATCGCTTTTCCGCTGCTGCAGATTTTGTGAACTGATTGTCAGAGGTATTTTTTAGGGCAGATTCCACCAGCTATGCCCGTACAATCAGAGAACAGGTTCTACTCAGTATGATCATGGCTTGCAAAACTTGGCTCATGGTAAGGCTTTCATGTAGTGAGTCATGCTGTGTGTTGTGCAGACCCCTGTAGAGTGAATGAAAATTAATGATCGTCTTACATATTCATTTCTTAGCTTACCACATATTTAGATAAGTGGTGCTCTACAATTCTGGTTGATGGGATTTCAAAAAGGAGTTTGACTTGTCTGCACTGGCGTTTTTCATTCCTCCAGTATTCCTGAAGCTCCTTAGTGGTCATCAAGGAGTTGGGACTTGGAGATGCATTGGAATCTAAAACCAATATATTAGCATTTCAGTTTATAACCTGTGCATTTGGAAAGAAAAATCTTATGCATTTATTGTGAAAGGAGAGCCCAGAATTTCTGTTTCTATTACAGCAAGACCTAAAGACTGTTAAAATAAGTGATTTCACTGCTAATAAAGACAGGTCCAGATTCTTTGAGGAAAGCTATTGCAGTCTGAAATTTTGAAACATACCAAAGCAATTGCAGAATACAAAGTTACAGAAAAACTACTGACAAGAAGTATTGTACATCTAGGTTTGTAACCTTGGGCACAGTCTGAGCAGCAGATATGCTTCACCATCCCAGAAGTAGCTCTAAGAAATGCCAGCTCAGTCTTCCGAATCACATGTTTCCTCAGGCTTCTTTGTTGCTAAAAGGAGGAGGTAATACAATGCAGCTGCAAATTCAGACATATATTCAAATACTGACCTTATTCAAATATTGGGTTTGTGCAGTAACAGGTGAAAGCTGAGAAAACATGAATATCCTAACCTTAAAGGAGAAACTTGTAACCAGTTTGGCCAAAGAAGGAATTCTCACATCCTCTTTTTCTTTTGTAGCTGAATTGATGCTACAGTTCAGCTACAAATATTTTTATATACTTCCCTCCTTTCCTCTCTCTTTCTCCCCACAATCACATACACACACACACAAACATATATACATATGCATATATAAAAATGTAGGACAGCTGGTTGAAGAGTTTGCTTACAGGGGAATTTGATGTAGCTTTTCAAAAGGGTGATTTCTCTGTCTGAAATCTACTGCCAACAGTTTTCATCAGGTGGCATATAGGCTAGCAAAGTGGATAAAAGTAATGGAATATTTGTATTTCACAAATGGGCCCATCCGGTCCCAATTTCTAATCCATGATGTCTCTGTCAATGCAGTCAGCTGAAGTCAGTCTGCAATGTATCTAACATTCAGACAATGGAGGTGAATGACCACAAATGAATGGGAAGATAACAGCTTGATGCAGAAATAGATTTGCAAAGGCACCATAGTACTTCAGTGGCCCCACTTCTACATGTTCTTAATCATTTGGCCATACAGTTTCAATTTCCAAGGCCTTTGGGGTTTGGCTCAATCTCTACAAAGCACGTATTTCCTAAGAGAGGTGGTGTTTATGACATCTTTGCAGGCTGAAAATCTTGATGAGATTATATACTTTTTGGATTATATATAACATTTTATTTTATAACAGATGACAGCAACCTTAGGCATAGTAAAAATTCAATGCTGCCTCTTCATAAGGCATGTGAGAGACTACTGTTTAAGATTAGCTTCAATCTGGTGTCCTTGCCAATACTGCCAAGAAGTTCAGATTTTGTGATGTACAGAGAGTGCACTCCCAAAACAGGCCATCTAATGATCACTGGTTTGGTCCCTGCTCTGTAAATGAAATCTGGAATACATTTTAGGCCCAAGGGATTTAAAAGGAAGACTGTGTGTGTATATACACACTAGGATATGCATCTGTTTCACTGCTGCTATGTTATTACCACAGGTTTAATCAAGGCTTATTTTCAGTAGAATATAGCAGTGTAAGTCTGGACTACTGCTGGAAGAAATAAAGCTAAGATTTTATATAAAAAATTAATGGCATAAATAGCTACATGAAAAATAAAATTAAAACATATCATCAACCTTGTAGGTCACATTTTCCTGGGTTTTCCTTTCTCACTTGACATGAAATTTCAGCTTTGGGTTGAATTTGTTCTTCATCAGATGGACTTGTGGTAGAAAATGTAGTAATACTGCTTACAGCTTCCAACAGTTCCCCTTCTGCTGTGTAGTGTGAGTCTTGGTCCATCGCAACCTACCACTGAAAGACTGCAAAAAATATGACATTTCTTAGTAGCATGCCTTTAGAGGAGCCAGTCTGCTAATTCTTTTATTGACTCACTCATTGTTCTATGTGACCTTATATGAGGGTAACTGTAGTTTCATAAAAAATAAAGTAATAAGTAGAAATATCTATATAGCTATCAGTGAAGAACCACTCCTGTTAATATTATTATTGAAAGTGTTTGGGTATCTTTTCAGTAGATTAAAATCAACCATGAAAACCATAGGAAGTTATGTTGAGAAAGATTAGGTGGGGAACTCTGTTCTTATCTATGAGAATTTTCTCAGAAACTTCAGTGGGGGGCAGATTTTTTTTCTCCTTGTATTTTGCCCTCAAGCTTTCAAATATGAGTTCAGATGAACTAAAATCTTGGAGATAATAACTATCAGCCTGGCTCTCTCACACTGCTAGAATTTACCGTTCTCAAGACTCCAAAATTAGCCATCTGTTCTTAATCACAACCTGTAGGGTAAAACAGGGCAATATCTAAAAGAGTATATTTTTGTCATATTTCACAGATTCAAGTTCTCTCCAGAGACTCGTCTCTGTACTGTGAGAACAAAACAACCGAATGGTTAGGCGGAAGGAGAACTGAGTTTTCTAATAGTTATACAGAAGCATTCTCCCTACACTTGTCCTTTTAACCTATATACTGTGCTTGTCATAGATCTCTATGCCTGTTCTGCTAGGACTACTCTTTTACCACATACTGATAAAATGCCTAACACAATATATTCCTACCCTGTAGACCAAATTGGCCATTCTGCTGCATAAATGTCTCTCCAGGATGTTTTGGAGGGTTTGTTTTGTTTTGTTTTGTTTTTTAAATTCCCTACCTATTACATCACTGTTATACTAGCAGTTGAAAAGGTTCTAGAGCATCCTAACAACTTTGCCAGGGCGTTGTGTTGTTAGTTAGCATGAGAGAAGCATTGCTCACAATTCAGCCAATGGGTGAAAATTAATTAACAGAACAACCTACTTTAAAAAAAAAAAAATCTCCTTGCTACAAATGCAAAAATAATGGTCAAACAGTGGTTATTAAGTAATGAGAGGATTTAGGACAGGGATGTTACTACATATCATTTTGCCTCCACTTGTCTACCACATAGTTATGCAATGATGGATCCAGAGGTGAGAAAAATCCTTCAGCAGACCCACTATTTCTGGCAAACTGCAAGGCTATAAAAAGAAAAGCCATTACTTTCCCCACTGGAAATAATGGAAGTGCAAACCACTTTCCTCTAACGGAAACCCTTCCTTTGCCTGGCTCGGATAAGCAAGTACATACATGTTGTCATCCTTAATAAAAGCATCATGGAAGCCCTTATTTTTGGACTTTGGACTAGGAGGTAGAAGTTCTCACTGTTCTCCTAGTTCTCCTTAAGGTCTGATTTTTGAACATGAAGAGCAGCCACTTACTTATTGTCTAACTGCTCAGTCTTTTGGAGTTCATGACAATTAAACCCAAGAGCATGAACTTGCAAGTATTTTTTTAATGTACAGATAATCTCAAATATATTATATTAAATGAAGAATCTGAAAATGGCCAAACAAATTTAAATTACAACTTTTTTCTTGGTTGTGAGTTGGTATAACTTTATAAACAAAACTGTATATATTCAAGATATATATATATATGTATAACTTTTTATACATATTTTTTTATATATATGTGTGTATATATAGAAATATAACACTTTGAAACATGATTTACCAGGGAAACACAACACACTTGAAAATAGAAGAATGCAGAAGGGAACATTATGATATACAAGTCTTCTGCCTTGAATATATCTGCCTTGCAAACTATCTGTACTTCATATAAGCAGTTTCATTTTCACAGCTATATATAATTCACAGTAAGCTCTTTTAACTAAGCTTCTATATATTAAAAAAACCCAAACCAATACAAAAATCGTGCAACAAATTACAGTTTTACTTTGAACAGACACTCATCCTGCTCTGTTTCTGGGTAAATGCCACTCGGACTGCTTCACCGAGTTGTAAGTATCACTACAAACTGAAATGCACGGTGTACTCACCTGGAAACTGCTGAAGAGCTTTTAGTTGTGGTGCATGTGTAGTCTGTAAGAAGTCATGAAAAGCCTGCTTCGCATTTTCAAAACACAGAAAAATATGTCTGTGTGTTCTTCTAAAAGGCACATTCTGTGTTTTACAAAAAGGAAGGAAGAAGCCTTGATTAACTCAGACTTCCTCGTCCAATTGGCTCACTGGTGCAGTGCTGAGTGATTACGCATAAAATTTCCTATCTGCCTCCAACACCCTTGTGCTGGCTGTGGGCGAGGCTCGGCCTCTTCTCAGCGGTGCAGCTCCAGCAGCAAGGGCAGGTTTGCACACCCGAGTGTCAGGATTACATGTGCAAATACAAAGTCTAGCAGAGGAAAGAGTTCAACAGTAAATACAATTACAAAATCAATGAAACTTCTCTGCATAGATTTCTAAAACCACACTTAGCAAAAGGGAGATTAGAAAAAAAGAGCCAAATATGTAAATGTACTTATGGAAAAATATGCCCCTTGGGACATCTTTAAAGTACAGACTTAACATCCAGTTCAGAAAAGAAAATGCAGATGGTACCACAATAAATAGCCTCGCTCCATGTAAACTTACACTTCTGACAGAAATCCCGATTCCGCACAGTGCTTAAACATATGATTAATTTCAAATATCTGCTTAATTAAAGTTCAAAAAGGAGCATTATCATATCTGACATGACTACTAAACTTGAAATGGGCTTATGTGTGTGCCTAAAATTAATCCTGTGCTTAAAGTCTTTGTTAAACTGAGGACAAAGTGAAGAAGAATGACGCATTAATCCACATGTCCTTTGGCCCAGATGCTTCCTTTGGCTGTTCACTTCAGTTTGGAAATTTGCTTTAAAGCATCAGGATAGCTATTTCTGGGGTAAATAATATGGATGCTATCTTTTTTTAGTAATGTAAGTTTCTCCATTGCCAAAGCTCACTCACTGAAGAACCAAACAATTTTAATGCAGCACAAATGTGGGAGGCAACCATCCAAAGGACCACATGGATCCTGCCCCACACATTCCTTTAGAACAAACAATTTAAAATAATGTAAAACCAGGGCCATAAACTGGCAGTGCTTCTATTCTGTTTTATTTGCAACATAAAACAATGCCAACTTTAACTTGGACTCAGTCTAAATGTAGAAGTTTTGCCAAAATAGCTGTCAGAATGGTGAAAAATCACTCCCATGCAGCTACAGCCATACTGGCAGAAGCCGTAGTGTAGATGCCGTTATATTGGCAGAGTCCTTTAGCCAGTTTAGCATGTTCCATGCGGAAAGTGATTTAAGTTACACCAGAAAAGAAATCTCTGCTTGCCAATAGAGCTCTAAGGTGTAGCTATACCAGCCAACCCTTTTAAGTGTAGACAAGGCATGGGTTTCTGGCTCAAGTCTCATTCCTTTAAAGTTAGATTTATGGGTTTGGTTACAATTGTGAGCAAAAACCAAGGGGGATTTCAGTGCCTTTCACTCATGCTGACAGTTCGCAGATGTATCTAAGCTTTGAATCCTGAATCTGTTAATTTATGTGTTGCCAAAAAGCTATGTATTATTCTGTGATGCTTAGTGCTATTGTCCTGCTCTTGATAAAGCTAAAAGAAAAGAGGAAATTTTATTTTTCAGTGTATTTAGTATGACCTCTACTTTCAATTATTTCAGAACAAGTCAGTCCTACTCAAATTAACCTGGATGATTAAAAAAAAGTGAAATCTTTTACTATGAGCATGGATGACTCATAAGAAGTAATTTACAAATCCAGGGTGTTCTGCAAGAACTCTGCCTGCCTCAGTAGAGCGAGCTGTTATGGTCACAACGGGTTCCTGAACGGCTTCCTCGTGCCCAGGAGCCGTGACATCCACAGAGGGTTTAGCAGGCTGCAGCTCCTCCTCAACCTGCCCCCTGAGCTTGGGTTCAGCCCAGACAGTCCCTGGCCCTTCACTGAGACCCAGTGTTGCTAGTCTGGCAGCATTTTACTTTCCTAAATGTCTACTTGATTAGCACATTCAAAAAAAGTCTACAGTGTACAGTGGTGTTTGCTAGCAGAATGCATAACTAGTATCTTTCTTTTTATATTCTCAGTTCCAATTCCAACAGCCAAATACTGTGTAAAGGGTTAAGCAGTGGAAAATGGGGGTTTTCACAATGGCAGCATACCATTCTGAAAGATGGGCGATTGCACTTATACCATAATTTATCTGACTGTTCATAAATTTTAATGCAAAAGCATGTTCTGTCATAGTCAGTGATGGAAAAGGGATCCTCCTGCACTGCCTCACTCAGAGTTTGTATACTGTGAAAGTGCTGACTTTGACATGCATAAAGAGTTAAAATGCATCTACCAAGGGATATGGAAAAAGAGTGCTCTGCAATAACATAGGAGCAAGGCAAGGTTAAAAATCATAACGCTGCAGCACATAAAGGTGGTTATCATAGGAGTTAGGTCCTCCATACCAATTTAAGTCAAAATAACTAATTTTCAGAAGACTCACCTGAAAGTTTATATCTGAAACTTGGTAACCAGCCACCAAATGATCTAGCCTTGCAATTCCATGTTAAGGATGGCTGTATTGAAAGACCATGTTTGTGCTTTAGATCGTAAAAAAGAACCAGAAGGGACTGCTGCAATGGTGACAAACATCCTGCCTTTATTTATACTCTAATTTGGGCAGTTCATATTTTCCCAGTCAGATAGATTACATAAACGTGGACAGACACAGTATTTAACCATAGAATACAAAGCTGGTATCAGCTTGAGAAATTGTGGGAGAAAACACTGTTATATAGAAACTGCAGTTTACTGCCAGATTTTATTTACTATAGGCACAGAAGGGTCCGATGTTTGTTAAAGAATGTGGCTGTAACATTCCTATTACAAAATACTCTTCAGCTTCTGTCCTAAGAAACACAGCTTCAGGCAACCTCATACAGTCTGTGCTGCTTTTCCCACTCAGGCCCCAAACTGTGTAACTAAACCTTACTTATTTTACCAAATCATTCATCAGAACTGTAGATAATGAGAAAAAACACGAGGAGGCAGAAATGCCTAACATATTTACCCGTCTCCTTTTATCACATAACTAATGTTTAGGAAGTGCTGTAATGTTGTCTTGGATGCTTCTACAAGAACCTTTCACCTCTTTTTGTAATGCAGCTGGATAAATACCTACCATTTCCATGTTTGAAGTTGCAGAAAAACTCAGCTGTTCTACATGAGTATTCTGCACTTTTGGGGTGATGCTGTGATAAATGAATACCATACTCCTGTCCTGGTATGGCACAAAATTCTGTTCCATGCTATTTATATAACATTTATTTGTGTAGTGTTGTGTCATTTGAAAGTGGAATTTGTTTACTATACTTCATTACTACAAAACATGTCTCTCTTAACAAGAGCATGGTTTAAAGAAATAATTTGCCCTTTAATGGCAAATATCTCGTGCTGGTGTTACTGACAGGGTTTTCAACATGAAAGAAAATGTAACAGGCCCATTTTATACTGCCAAAGCCCTGTTACCACTTTACAACTCCTTTATACTTCTAAAGGAGTACGAAGGAGCTTTCGAGTAAACAACAGTCTTGGCCTGCCTTTCATCTGTGGTCTGTCAGTGACACAGAGCTGTAATGCAAGCCCAGTGGGTCGATAGGATATTAAACTGGGTTAAATTTCACAAGTACTATTCTGTCTGTAGAATGACAGACTTCCTAAATCGTCTATGGTGGTCATTTTCCTGCTGAAATCAGAGGGCCAAGTACATAATTACATGGACTAGAGAAATATTTTTAAATATTTGCTTCTGAGTTATTAGGTGTACCACATGTAGTCATTTCTACCTAGCATTTTGATATTTTATTCTTATAATGTGTCCATCCCCTTCTCAAATATAATTACAATGTACTTAGGCTAATACTTATAATCACGTTCTACATGTAATTTATTTATACCCAAAATGTAAACATAATGAAATTTGGGATAACGGGATTTATAACAGACATGCTAATACATTTTCTAAGAGCACAAACTGCAGCTCTACAAATGGAGGAAAGTGCAGCTGCTGTGTATAGATAGCCACCTTGAGGATTAGCAGAGCATAACGGGTTTACTGTGTGCCCTTCTCCAAAATGAAACGTAATGCATGAATCTTAGTACCTTTGCACTACTATTTATTCTTTAAAAATTAAATATGACTTTAAAGTGCGATTTTGCTCTTAAGTGACTGAATAAAATTATCAGTATGAGCATTCATTCCATAGTAGATGGAATCTTGTCATTCCTCAGGAGTTTCCAATAAACTCCTCCTGGTTTCCAACACTCAGACTGTGTCCTTCCCATCCTGCACACACCCCCGCTAGCAAAAGCCCGTGCTGTACCTTCCCCTCTTCCCACCAAGAGCCGTGGTGGTGACACACATCACTTCAGGGCTCAAAAGTGGGCCCCCCTGCCCCCATCTGGGGCTGTGCTGGATCTGCTCACTGTCTCTCTAGATTCTGAAGATCTATATGGAACAGGATTAACTGGAACGGCCTTTTCTTTAGCTAATGTTGGACTGCACATGTTGCATAAAAACATGTATTAAATGAATGGTAAAGACACAAAGAAACTAGGAAAGTGTTTATTTGTATGTCAACATTATTGTAACCAACTTGGGTACATGATCATATGCTATTTTTTTCAAAGATGCTTCTTTGTAGGAAGTCCATCCATTTCTAGCAGTACAAAATTTCAAAGTGTTTTAAAAATGAAATTTAAAGCAACGGTTTAGAATACTATGTGATTAAAAAAATACTGTCTAAAAATAAATGTTGTTTTCCGGAAATGCTGAATGCATGAATAAATCCTTTAAACATAACCATCCTGCTGAGGAACTCTTTTCTATTCCAGAGTTCATTCTCTCATTATTTAATAAGAGCTCACTATATATAAAAAATACTGATGCACAGTGGATAAAGCAGAACAGCATTCGGATGACAGTCACATTCAGGAGGTCGGTTAAAGAGGAGCTACAGTTGTCTTTTATTAAATCAAATAGGAGCATTATTTACATTTCTTGAGAGCAAAAATATTTCAGAAGTGGATATTGAAGCCAGATCAAGTTTGGCATTCGTGAGCAGTCTCTAGGTATCGCTACGGCCGCCGGCCCCACGAGGGGCACTTGAAATGACCCCCCGCGTTTCCCGAGCGGTTGAAGACGCCGCACGCCGGGAGCGCAGGGCAGAGCCCCCCGCCACCTTCGCCGGCACGCACGTAAGGCCACTTGCATTCGGTTCGCAGCCTTTAGCCCGGAGGGATCTGACTGCCACCACCCTGCCGCCAGCTCCCCGCAACTCTCGGGGTTTTTTCCCGTCTCCACGTGTTGCACCCGCCAGGCGGAGGCAGCGCCCCGCGGCCCCCTCCGCCCCG